GTGACTGTCGTAACAATGATACATGTAATTGCTGTCTTGAGAAGAAAGGACATGATTTGCATCGTTAATTGAAATTGCAATAATTGCAGGATATATATTCATGAGGAGAGAGAGAGAGAGAGAGAGAGAAAGAGAGAGAGAGAGAGAGAGAGAGAGAGAAGGGGGTTACAAGTTTTATAAGGAGTAATAACAAACGAAAGGAACCCCTTACTGTAACTTAATATTGTTGGATCCTGACAGAGAGAGAGAGAAAATTCGAGAATAACTTAGGATAGTAAAGATAGAGAAAGTAGGGTTCTCCTCCCCCTTCCAACCACACAGCTGTCGAAGGCGGCCTGGGTGGTGGTGACTCACACAATATCTTCCAGCTTCGACCTCCCGCCGCGCCCTCCCCCTGCCGCCCTCCCGCCTTCCCACCCATATACCCAAACTATCCTCTGTCGCCCCAAAGGCTCATCCTTCTTATTTTAGCCTACTCCGCCTTTTTCTTATCTATCTTTGTCAACTTCTATTATCTCTTTTTTGTTATATACGTCTCTCCTTTTTCATCCCCACCTCACACAGTTAGACTAATGCACTGAAAACCGAAGAGAAAGGGAAGAACAGGTGGCACAGGTGGTTCATCGGCAATCCGTCACGCTTGCTCCGTTCTAATTGGCCAAAGTAACGTAACGCCGGCTTCGCTGCGCTGCCGGCACGCGGAAGCCGTAGTTCGAAGTCCGGAGAGATAGAGTCAGACATACTGACAAACAAAAACGGAAAAAAAACTGCGGAGCATCCGAGTATTGCCTAAGAAAAGGAGTAGAGACGAAGGTGAAGTAATCCCTGCATGCTATGTATCAGGGAAATGTTTTAAAGAAGGACACAAAAATGCGATGAACTTTCACTTCAAGGTAGAGAAGACAGATCAGCATTTACCTGCATCTTGAAGTCGTTTCAGGTATTGTTATTGCAGAAGCCTGGAGGTGGGGGGGGGCAGAAGCAGCTGATGTTCTGCGCAGGCGCACAGGAAACGACGAGAGATTGAAGCAGTGAGAGGGGTGGCGGTTGTGTATATGCCGGGGAGGGAGGGGTGATTGGGGAGGAGTTTCACCTGGAGTGTTAGGGGTGAGTGAGGAGGGAGTGGAGGCTAGAGAGAAGGTTCGAGAAGAGAAGGGTTTTATTAGTGGGGCCAAGGGGGGATATGGGTGGGAAGAGAGGGGGCGGCCAGGGTCCTTCTGTCGCACTCCTCATCTTGGCGTGAGTCATCCGCCCCTTGAGCCGCCCGGCCTTTCCTCGCGCACCAAATGCCCACAGCCACTCGCCCGCCGCCACGAGCACTTAGCACTCCCTTAGCACATGGCGCACGCATGACCTCATGGAAAACCACGCCCACTCCCATGAGAACGAGCACGGAAGAGTAGTAGCGAAAGAAATATATTGGGAAAGAGAAACGAAGGAAAGCTAATGGAAAGGAAGGAAAGATAGATGAAGAGGGAGAGAAGGAACACTAAAAGAGAAAGGAAATGAAAAAAAGTGAGGCAGTATGAGAGAGAGAGAGAGAGAGTGAGAGAGAGGAGAGAGGAGAGAGGAGAGAGAGAACGTCTGGTAGCCTGAGGCCGGATGTCAGAGCCAGATGACCCGCTGTTTCTAACGTTTCGCGTGCGCGGGCGCACACGTTTACGAGTAGTTTACTATCCATCTTATCTGATGAACTAAATAAAAAAAAACTGAGGATTATTGACTCTTCTTTCACAGTTATTGTATATGCGCGTGTATGTCTTATGAATTTGTCTGGGCATCGTGCTTACAGATCCGGAAAGCAACTCAACGAAATTGGAACACGGGCGAAAGAAAAAGGGAAAAGTTGCAGAGCCTGTGAAGGAGGGTGGGGTCGTAGAGGGGGTCGGTGTGGGGGTTCAAAGGGGGCGATGAGGTGAGTGTGGGGTGGGGTAGGGTTGGAGAAAGCACAGGCAAGCAGGGGGTTTGCGAGCAGCGGGACCCCTCGTGCATTCGGGCTTGCGGCGCCCCCTGTATAGACGTCCCACGCGCATTCCGGTGAGGGTTTCTGTGGTAGTGTGTGGATGTATGTGTCCGTTCTGGTGCTTTCTGTGTGTGTTTGTGTGTATGTGTATGTGTGTGCGTGTGCACGTTTGTGCTTACGCCCAGTGGTGTGGGAGGGGGTATACCGTGTGTTCATGCTTGCAAAACTTCAGTTAGATTTGGATGCGGTGTTTGGATGATGCGAGAACGAACGCGTGCTCTGCATTTGACTCGCCGGCCAAGCCGTGGAGGATCATCGTATCATTATTGATGCGAAGAGAGAGAGGAGAGGGGAAAAGCAGATCAGAGATAGAGAAAGAAAGAAAGAATAAGAAGAAATGACTATTGGATAAGCTACTGTCATCTATGATCTATTTTTTCGATGATTCAGTGGAAACGAAGAAGGGCTTCTCTCTCTACGACAGCATTGTGGCGCCACGGAACTGTTATGTCACGGGCTTTGTGGTGACGGAGAGAGGTGGAGTAGCGGGCGTGTGCAGGTTTGGTGCAGGTGGGCGTAAGGAGGGAAATGCCACCCCGCCTTTCCCTCTTGCGGGGTGGGCGTGCCCTTCCGAAGTACCAACCATTCATAGATACACCTTTCAAACTGTTGACTACCCTCCTGAAGGTGGAGGTTAGGGCTTCTCTCCGAACACCTGACGTGTGCCTGTGTCACACGGTCCGGGTGTGTGTGTTGACGTGTTTGTACATTTGTTCATATTACTCTGATTGAGGTATAATAGCATCTCCTTTTCACATGATGGTCTGACATTGCGCGTTGTGTACTAAGTATATTGTGCTCTTTCAACGTTTATTTATATTGTGTGTTAATGAGCACTGCCTATTCCTTTCTCTCTCTCTCTCTCTCTCTCTCTCTCTCTCTCTCTCTCTTCTCTCTCTCTCTCTCTCTCTTCTCTCTCTCTCTCTCTCTCTCTCTCTCTCTCTCTCTTCTTCCGGTCTAATCTTCTTCTACTTTCATCTCTCTTTCTCTTCATTCTCTCTTTATTCTCTTCTTCCCTGCTCTTTCCTCTCTCTCTTTATTGTTTCGTCTCTCCCTTCCCTCTCTCTCCCTCTCTCCTCTCTCTCTCTCCCTCTCTCACCTCTCTCCCTCCTCCCTCCTCTCTCTCTCCCCCCTCCCTCCCTCCTTATCTCCTTCTCTCTCTTCTCTCTTCTCTCTCTCTCTCTCTCTCTCTCTCTCTCTCTCTCTCTCTCTCTTCTCTCTCTCTCCTCTTCTCTCTCTCTCTCTTCTCTTTCTTTTCTCTTTCTCTGTCTCTCTTTCTCTCCTTCTCTCCTTTCTCCTTTCTGCTTCTCTCCTTCTCTCTTTTCTCTCTCTTTCTCTCTCTTCTCTCTCTCTCCTCTCTCTCTCTCTCTCTCTTAAATCTTCTCTCTCTCTCTCTCCTCTCTCTACGTCTCTCTCTCTCTCTCTCTCTCTCTCTCTCTCTCTTCTCCATCATCGCCTCTCTCTCATGCTCTCTCTCTCTTGCCATCTCTCTTTGCTTCTCTCTCTCTCTCTCTCTCTCTCTCTCTCTCTCTCTCTCTCTCTCTCTCTCTCTCTCTCTCTCTTCTCTCTCTCTCTCTCTCTCTCTCTCTCTCTCTCTCTCTCTCTTCTCTCTCTCTCCCCCTCTCTTCCCTCCCCCTCTCCTCTCTCCCCCCCCTCTCTCCCTCCTCCCTCTCTCTCTCTCTCTCTCTCTCCCCCCCTCTCTCTCCTCTCTCCCTCTTATTCTCTCTCTCTCTCTCTGCTCTCTCTCTCTCCTCTCTCTTCTCTCTCTCTCTCTCTCTCTCTCTCTCTCTCTCTCTCTCTCTCTATCTCTCGTCTCTCCTCTCTCTCTCTCTCTCTTTCCTCTCTCTCTCTCTTCTCTCTCTCTCTCTCTCTCTTCTCTTCTCTCTCTCTCTCCTCTCTCTCTCTCTCCTCTCCTCTCTCTCTCTCTCTCTCTCTCTCTCTTCTCTCTCTCTCTCTCTCCCCCCCCTCTCTCTCCTCCTCTCCCCTCTTCTTCTCTCTCTCTCTCCTCCTCTCTCTCTTCTCTCTCTCTCTCTCTCTCTCTCTCTCTCTCTCTCTCTCTCTCTCTCTCTCTCTCTCTCTCTCTCTCTCTCTCTCCTCTCTCTTCTCTCTCCTCTCTCCTCCTCTCCCTCTCTTACACCCTTTCTTTCCCTCTCCCTCCCTCCTCCCTTCTCTCTCTCTCCCTGCCACCCTCCCCCTTTCTCTCCCCCCTCCCTCTCTTTCTCTCCCTCTCTCACACCCTTTCTCTCCCTCTCACCCTCCCTCCCTCCCTCTCACATTCACTCTCTTTCTTTTTTTCTTCCTTGTGTGCTTACGCAAGTAATGTTCATCGCCTTGCCTCATCTATGTGTTGCATTTGTACAAGAAGCATGTTAGGTTGACGGGGGAGTGGGGTTAAGGTCCTTGCATCACCCGAACCACATAACAATGCCATAACAGTGCATGACTACCATGCAGAGAAGTGCCGCATGACACTGATGCCAGCTCTTTTTTAAAGAACACTGAATACCTGACTGTATTATCAGGGCTTCAGGTGCCGACACCTACGCGTTCTGCTGTGAGTCCACTGCAGGGTCAGCCATGATAAGGGGGACAGCTGTGAAAAGTCTTTTTTTTGTATAGAGTGTGAGTGTGTGTGTCCGTGCGTCTGATGTTTGTTGATTCCATTGTCAATTTATGTCTTTATAGTTTTAATTCCGTGGATATTCCCATGTGTGTGCATAAATACATATACATATGTTTTTGCACATATGAATTATATGTATATTTTATTTATTATTATTTATTATTATTATTATTATTATTATTATTATTATTATTATTGTTTATTTTTATTTTATTATTATTTTATAATAATATTATATTATTATTTTATTATTATTATTATTATTATTATTATTATATTATTATTATTATTATTTACGCTATATAAAATCACAAGCAGCGTACAAGTTTTAATTGCGACCACCTCTTTCCTCAG